CTTTGCCTTGTGCTTGACAGTATTAGAATATATAAAGAATTCTTGAAGTTTAATATTAAGAACAAGCAACCCAACTAAAAAATGGGCAAAAGACCTGAACAGAAAATTCACCAAAGAAGGCATATGGAAGGCAGTACTTATGAAAAGCTGTTCAATATCATTAGGCATTAGGGAAATGCAAATTAAAGCCACAGTACCATATCACTACATACATATTAGAATGACTAAAATAAAAAATGCAGTGCTATAGAAGATTCAGAGCAACTGGAACTCTTGCATTGTTGGTGGGGAGCAAAATGGTTCAAGTATTCTGGAAAAACAGCTTGGCATTTTCTAGAAAGTTAAACATACAATTACTTTTATGACCTAACAATACTTTCCTGGGTATTTAATCTCAGCAACCAAAATGTTGTAAAGCAGATGAATGAATGAATAAACTGTAGCACATCCACAAAGTGACATACTATTTAGCACTAAAAAAAGGAACACCCTATTCACACAACATGCATAAACATTAAATTCATTTTTCTAAGAGAAGGAAACCATTCTCAAGAAGTTACATACTGTATGATTCCATTTTTATGACAGTCCTGAAACAACAAAACCATAATAGAGAACAGATTGGTGGTAAAGGGGGAAGGAGAGTTAGAGGCACAAGAGAAGGTGTGACTATAAAGGATACAAGGTATTTTTGGGGGGTAATGGAACTGTGGTAGGGCTTGCATGAATCTATTTACATGTTACATTCAGAGAACCAAAAAAGGCAATTTTACTGTATGTATATGTACCAAAAACAGGCACATTTACTACATGTTAATTTACAAAGTAAAATTTAAAAAGACAGAAACAAGAGAGAAGGGAGAATTGTTATAAGATTTAAGAGACAATAGGAAAAATGCAATTTGTGGACGTTGTTCAGATCCTGATTTGAACAAACCAACTACAAGAGGCATTCTTGATACAACCAAGAAAAAAAATCTGTTTAATTTTTACCTATTTATTTTGAGCCAGAGAGAGAGAGAGAGGGAGAGAGAGAACCCCAAGTAGATTCCACACTCAGCATAGAGCCCAATGCAGGGCTTCATCTCAGGCCCACAGGCAGGTCACAACCTAAGCAGGTATCAACATATCAATAGCTACCCAGGAGTCCCAACCACGACACTTTTAATGTTGATTTGGAACTAGAAGTTAAATTTAAGTTTTTAATTATAATGATGGCCTTGTGGTTATGTAAAAAACAAATCTTTATCAGTTAGAGATTTATTCTGAAATATACACGTGTGTGTGTGTGTGTGTGTGTGTGTGTGTGTGTGTGTGTGTGTGTGTGAGAAATAGGATTAAGTCTGGGATGTGATTTTAAAAAAATTGAGAAAAAAAGTGGGGAAGATACATTAGCAAATATTGAAGCTAGAGGTTCATCATACCATCTTTACTATTTTTTAGTATGTTTAAAGTTTTCTGTAATTTCTCTTAAAAATAGAAAATGAGATTTCAAAAACAGAGTGGAACTTCCTTTCCACAGTTAGTATAAAGCAGAAGATATGATAGGCCTACAGGTGGTTTTCATCTCAATGTCAAATCTTTCCAATGACTCCAAATAAATAATGCTGTGTGTGGCAAAAATAATACTGACATATGAAAAAAAAAAGTCTCCTAGAAATCTTACATCTTGAACAATGAACTCCTAAAATTACTAGATTAGTAAAGATTTGCAGTCAGATTTTAAAATAGCAAATCAAAACAGCTTCTTTTACATATTTCCACTTTCAACGACACTATCAAAGAAATAAAGGGCAAAAATAATTTTATAGCAATAATTATGATTCTAAAAACCTCAGCTAAAAACCAAAATTACTCAGGCTTTCCGATTCTCATTAATTATTTACACAGTGTGGCTTTCTTGCTGTGTTGGTCCAGTCTGTTCTTTTGAGCATTATTATTATTTATCATTTCTTGAGCACTTAGCACAGCGTGATATACAGATGACAAATTCCCTCCCTAGGGGACAACAATCAAAGCCACACAAGCAAAATACAAAGATTAGCTATTTAAGAAATGAAAACTACATGAAAGGTTAAAAAACACATTCTGTATTCCCTTTTTTTGCTTTCAGCTTTAAGCCCAAGATACAACACATATTTCTCTTAGGGGCCCAAAGCAAGAGTGAAATTGACAAGACAAAGAAAACAACCGGCTTAGAATAGATAGAAAACATCCTAGACATCATTCCAAAAAGATATCCTATCTTACAAATCCTTTTACTTTCTGAGGTATAAAAATTACTAAAACCTATTCCCAGCTCTAGTGGACTATAATAGCTTTGTGCGTGGTGTATGATTTAGGTCTGCCCAGCGACTTTTCTGTTCCCTTTTTTTTTGATGATACCACTCTGTGCTTCAGGAACTGCTTCCCCTAGTCTGTGTATTCCTGATGAGACTGTCAATCATAATGCACCTTTCCCCTACCTTATAATGACATTGTGCTGAAAGCTGTAGGCCTAGAGAAGCCCAAGGTCATTTTTACAGACCGTGTAATGAAATTTCTCTACAGAGTCCATTAGGCCAATTTGCAAAAAAAAAAAAAAGTAAAATAAGTGGAGGCAATGTAAGTGCTGGCAGTTCTAAGCCCCAGAACCAGGCTTTCTGAGACCCTGGTTCCTATAGTTCTTTAGATTGTATGAGCTACCCCACAATCCTTTTAAGCTACCACATTCGAGTTTGTGCTTACAATAGTAAAAATTAGGTTTCTTTTGTCATTTGCACCCGAAAGAATCCTGAGAAGTTAAAAGAACTTACCCAAGGTCCAGTGTCTCCTAAAAAGTAGAGTCATTACTCAAACTCAGGTCTGTGCGCCTCTACATAGTAGGCTTTTCTTATTATGGCAATTTACTTTTTATGCTACGGATGTTCCTAAAATCTAGTTTCATTAAGATTGAGAAAGGAAGGAAAAGGAGCTTGGGAGGAGGGGGTCCATCTGTCTAATCCAATCTGGTTTCTTGGTAATAGGAGGGAGGTGAAAATTTATTTTAACCCGTTTTGCCTTGTATTTAAGGTATATAAACAAGAACTCCAGGTTGGGATCATACAAACTTCTATCCAAGAGCAAACCAAAGGTGTGCAATTCTAGGAAAGAATGGTATCAAAGTATTTTCTCTTCCCTTTGCTCTACCCAGTTGTAATGGTTGCATTAAAAAAACAATGTTTGATACCAATAATACCAAATAAAATGTTTATGTTTTCTAAGTTTACCAAGAATACATCTATTTGTTTCCATTAAAACTGTCTTTATTCACTGTATTGCAAGTATATGCAAAAAGAAAAAAAAAATGTACTGAAATAATTCTAGAAGAATACAAATTAAATTAATGGTTTGTTTTTTGATAATAATTACTTTTAAGTGTCAAATCAAATGTTTCATCACTTTCCTATTTGTTTTATTTATTTTATTTTTTAAAAGATTTTATTTTTAAGTAATCTCCACACACAATATGGGGCTTGAACTAATATCCCTGAGATCAAGAGTCTCATGCTCTATCAACTCTGCGAGCCAGCCAGACACCCCCTTGCCTTCCTATTTTAAATGCTTACTTTGTTATTGCATTTATCATGATTTGAAAGCATCTTGTTGTTTTTATTTAGTTCTTACTTTATTTATTGTAACTTACTTGTTTATTCACTTATTAGCAGGGATCTTGCCAGTTTCATTTGCCATCATATTTTTAACAGTTTAGCTTATAGAAGACACAATGTACTTGTTAAATTAACTTTTTTTTTTTTTAATTTTTTTTTCAACATTTATTTATTTTTGGGACAGAGAGAGACAGAGCATGAACGGGGGAGGGGCAGAGAGAGAGGGAGACACAGAATCGGAAACAGGCTCCAGGCTCTGAGCCATCAGCCCAGAGCCTGACGCGGGGCTCGAACTCCCGGACCGCGAGATCGTGACCTGGCTGAAGTCGGACGCTCAACCGACTGCGCCACCCAGGCGCCCCTTAAATTAACTTTTAAAAGTACACTGTTCCGAAATAAAAGTCACTGTTTTGATATCTATAAATATACCAATATATTGAAACTAAAGGATGATAAATGATTCTGTGTTCTACTATAAATTAAACTGGGATGGTATCTGTTGAAAAGCCCAAGTGCCAGTAGATAAGAGAAACAACCACATTCTCTTTTTTTTTTAATGTTTATTTATTTATTTTTTTGAGAGAGAGAGCACAGGAGAGAGCAAGCTGGGGAGGGGCAGAGAGAGAGGGAAAGAGAAATCCCAAGCAGGCTCTGTGCTGTCAGCATAGTCTGAAGTGGGACTCGAACTCAAGACCTGAGCCCCAGAAACCAAGAGTCAGATGCTTAACCAACTAAGGCACCCAGGCACCTGATAAGCCACCACATTCTCTAGCTGGAGTTGGGCAAGTGAATGCTCAGTTTGAGTCATAGTGGATCCAAGGCAATAAGGCAAGAGGGCTTCCTGCTTCCACTAAAAGCACTCATCACAGTTTCATAGAGACTCTTCATAAGCTTTTGTTTGAAGAAATGATTCCACTGCTTAGAAATAGGTTTAGGGGAGGGTGGTAGAAAACATTTGCATTGTATATTATATTTATTTTTCCCTTTCAAAGTCAATGATCTCTAACTGCTATTAATGTTTTTCTAGTATAATAACAAAACTATTGCTGTCTCAATTTGAAAGCAATTATTTTTTATTTATTTATTTTAGAATTTTAGGGAAAAACCAAACACCAAGGCTTCTAGAATCAGAAAATATTTGCCTTTTAGCTATATAAAAATTAAAAGTTAAGCCTATACTGGACAATTTTAGAATCTTTGAATTCAAAGATTTCTCCTATCATTGTACTAATCTCATATTTGATTTCTCTTTCAACAGAGAGAACATATAAAAACATGTTTAGCATTTCCTCCCTTTCCAGGTTGCATTTTATCTTGAGTAGATTTAAAAGCAGATTAGTTGTAATAGGATTCCAGGATGTGGGCAGATGTCTACTTGTCACGGATGATCTCTCTTGCAATCAGCTCCTTCATTATTTCATTGGCACCACCATAGATTGGCTGAACGCGGGCATCCACATAAGCTCTAAGTAAATCAGAAGATGATTGAATGAATAAATAAAAGATACTGGAAGTTATAAGTTTTGTCTCAGCAGGAAACTATTGATTCCTTTAAAGTATTCATTTAATGAAATCCAAAAAATAAAAGTTCCCTATAAATTACTTTTTTTTTCAGTATGGCATTCATCCTAGATTTGTATAATTATCAAATTCTATTAAGGTACTGATCATTTGTACAGCTTTTAGTTTGCTTGATGTTTAGATTACAATTTAGATTACAATTTCAAAATAACATTAAAAAAAATGTTTATTTATTTTTGAGAGAGAGGGAGCATGAGCAGGGAAGGGACAGGGAGAGAGGGAGAGAGAATCCCAAGCAGGCTCTGAGCCATCAGCACAGAGCCTGATGCAGGGCTTGAATTCACGAACCTTGAGATCATGACCTGAGAAGAAACCCAGAGTTGGTCGCTTAACTGACTGAGCCACCCAGGAACCCCAATAATAACATTTATTAGTATGTTTCATTTGATTTAATTTTGTAAACTTCAGCACATATACTAGCATTCTAAAAAAGGCTGTTTCAGATTTAGAGTGGATAGAATGTCTCAATTTCTTATTATCTTTAATGTTTCCTTAAAAATGTTGAAATCCACTGGTTTTATAGGAAACAAAAGAGAAAAGAAAGTATCTATTTTCTAACATCCCTTAGATTTCACCACCACTGCTGCCATCAGGAGTATAAATCGATGCTTTAGAAAATATTACTTCCCACAAAGTTAACAAGTAACTTATTTTTTAGAAATGGTTAGTAGTCATTCCAGTAATGTATGACATTAAAATACTGAGTAGCTGAGTTTACTCTCTCTCTCTCACACACACACACACACACACACACACACACACGTTACCAGGAATTCACTTTCGGTAGCAAAGATAGCAACCGTGATACTGTATAGTTGTTTTTACCTTTTCTCATTTCATTTTATCCTCTCAACTCCAGCATCAGGAAGGATAAATATTATTATTGTTTTGTAGGTAAGGGAACTGAGATGCAGTGTAGTTAATACACATATTAATTAATGGTTGTTATTTAGTGATCACATAACAGATAATTGGCAGGCTGGATTGAGAAGGTAGGTATCCTGCCACTTTGGCAAGTATCTTTTTTATTATATCATAGTATTTTCATTGGCCCAAGCATGTAGGATTAGTTATTGAGCTTTGGACCCAAATTCAAAGGCATTTTTTTTCTCAAGCATAGAATCTATTTTTGGTTTTTGCTTTTTATTTTTTAATGTTTTTTTTAATTTAACATTTGAGACAAATTAAATATGCTGGCTCTCTAGGAACATGACCAATTCTGGACTCTTCATATTCTTCATGGTACCTTATAAAAAGTAAGCATTCAGTAAATATTTACTGACTTAGTGTATTACCAAGGAATTTTAGAGTCTCAATACCTACTTTTTGTTGAAACTTGGAATCTACAGATATTTGTATTTTCAAGTATATATATTTTTTCTTTTGAACAGATTCCATTGTGCTCACAAAATCCAGCACTTGCATATGGAGAATCTACGTGGCACTTTGGCCTACTTCAGCAATCTCAATGCTTCCAGACATTTTTGGATTGCATTGGGCTTTTTTTTTCTTTTTTTCACATTAAAGAAATTCCAATGGAGTAGGTAATGAAAGAGATCAGTAGACCTTTTATAGGTTACTAATTAAATTCAGTCATCAACTAAAATTAACAGAGAAAGGCAGCAGAAGGAATGTTTAACCACACAGTGATGGAGCTCTGTATCTCAGGCTGTTCTTCCTAGCATGGCAGAGAGGTCTTGAAACGGCAATGCTTAAGCCTCACCTCTTACAGGCCCCAAGCCTAATGAGTAAGAGTGAAATAAGTTCACTAGTTTAAGACCAGTTATTTAAAAAACAACAACAACAAAATGAAACAAAGCAAAAAAGCAAAAAAAGAAAAAAAAAAGAAAAAAAAAAGAAGCACCTGTTTTATCTGCAAAATCAAGACTCAGCAATACACACACATAAATACACAAATAAAATAGCTTAATCCGAGGATATAAGAAACACCATTAGAGTGATTTTTTTTTCCTATCAAATCAAAATCTGTGCACTGCAACCACATAACCCCTAATGTGTCTAATCAGCCTTTGATACTATCTACTACTCTATCTCTTGTTAACTTATGAAAAGTTCTTTCCTTGTATCTCTGGGGTGAGAAATAGCAGTCTAGTTTAAAAGTTCATACAATCTTTGAACTAACAAACCGGCCAAGAAGGGGATTATTATTCTTGAAAGGAAATATAAGTCTCTCAAATTGAAACCAGGGGTTTCAAATAAGCCATCAAGCTACAATTTTTGCTTGCTACTGACCTGAAGGAATCGCCTCTAAGAAAACACAGAGCAAGACTTACTCTGCACTCTAATCTTAAGTCATGTGGATGGGTGACCCCTCACCTCATGTATCTTCCTTAGAACCCGAACTAGACTAGACAAACTAATCCACTACATGTTTACATTTCCAGCAGTGGTTGGAACAACACACTTAAGTATAAAAATAGAGACATTCATTATGATTTGACTTTCTTAGCATTGTGATTATTGTGAATAAGATGGATTAATATTATGAATAAAACATGAAAATGCACAGAAAAAAATTCCAGGGATGATTTAATTTGTGCTAGCATAACTCAGTGTTTACTTCTGATTTCATGACTACACAAAGATAAAAAAAAAAAAAAAATCTGCTTTTGATTAAGGCTCGTTTGAAGTAGTTCTGAAAGGATATACCAAAATCCAAGTCCAAGGATTGCCAAAAAAATAAATATATAAATAAAATCATTTAGTTACTTCGCATCTACATTCCCAAAGAAAGGAAAGCCCTAGTTGTTGCTGAGTTTTTATAAAGGTTATAAATTATACACACCCTGTGATTAAAGCTTTCTGAACTAATTTTACAGAAAATTAGCAGATTATATCTATGCTGCAGCTTCTGTTCTTAATTTAACTTAACTAAAATGTTTATTTTCCTCATTAAAGACCATAAATGTATCAAATGTTTCCAACTATGTTTGCCAAAATGATAAATGTCAAAGTCAGTTTGAATACTAATTTGATAATTTTCCCTTTAGATAGTATGTATTTACATTAAAATTAGAATAGAAAAAGTGTTTTTTTAAGTTTATTTATTTTTGCAAGGAAGAGAGAGTGTGTGTGCACAGGGAAGCAGCAGAGAGAGAGGGAGA